CTCTTTGAGAAAGCAACACTTGCCTGGCCTCCGTGGTGTGGGTGCCGTTTGCCTTGACAGACGACCAGGAGGCCAGCATGGAGACAGGCTCCTGAGTGTCAGAGCTGCTTCTGCCTTGGGCCTCCTCAGGGTCTGGTTTAAGCTCGTTTGGCCTGCGTTGCAGGGTGAACCTCGGTTTCTGAATGAGGAAAATGGATTTGGGCAGACTTGTCCTGGGGAAGTCTTTATGTTAGCGGCCGATGTGTAATTGGCAAGTCACCTGAAAGGGAAAGACTCAGAAGCTCGTCTGTGAATGCTCCAAATCCAATCCAGATGTCCTGGGTGCCATCTCCAGGGGGAATGGGAATGCTTTTGTGCAATTGCATTGCCCTCTGTCTGAAGAAAGAAATTATTAGGAAAAACAGAGATGAACTGCATAAAGTTTATAAAAGGAGGATTCAGACAGACTCACCTGGATGATGTGCTTCCCCAGGAACTTGAGTACCAGCTCCCAGTGGCAGGAACACGACCAGGGAGCAGTTGGTGCATCATGTTGGAAAGCCATGCAGTAGTCCCTCAGCACCCCCCCACCCTCCCATCCCCACCCCTCTGCCTTTAAAGCTCTGCCTGGTGCTGCTGGGACTGGGACTCTGCAAATTGCTCTTCTCTTTGTCAACCAGTAGGGGGTGCTGGAAGGTGGGAGGATCCTGGAAGACACTGGTCATTCCTTCTGTTTGCTGTGTTTGTGTCCGCTGAGCAATGGCCTTTGACTAGTTGGTTCCAGGCCAGCATCTTTCTGTCAGCCTCGCTGCACCCTGGCCAAGGTGCCAGCGTCAGTTGGGCAGTGACCTGTCCTCGGTCATCTGAATCCCAGCTCTGCAGGGTCCCTCCTCCCAGCTTCTAAATTCTAATAACACCAGCCTCTCCCCTTCCAACTCCCAGCTCGCTTCCTGCAGTTACTACCTCTGTGCTCAACCCATTCCTTAGATTAAATTCTCTCTGCTGAAATACCTGGGGTGGTTTCAGTTTCCACTCTGACTACTGACACAAAGGCTTAACGATACCAGCCATTAATCCCCTATTACCCAACAAATTCTGTTACACACACACACTCACACACACACACACTTTCCTGTTTATCACACATCTCTCTGATTAGAATTGTCTTCTCAAGTAGAGCTCCTACAGGGAGAACTTGCTGTTCAGTAAACATACACTTACAGTTTTCATTTTGACGCTGTGTTCATACCTCAGTCCCTGACGCCTTCTTTGGGCCATGAGACGGACCCCTTCCAGGGACACTGGCACGTGTTTCCTGCACTTGCCTCACGAGGGTCAGACCTGAAACTGTGTCATTCCACCACAGCCATGGCGCCCTGACTCACTGACCACCCTCCTCTGGTGTTCTGCCTCCAGTTCTGCCTCAGATTGGTGCACAACATGAAAACAATGTTCTTTCAATGGCAACAGCTAATACTGGACGACAATGTCCCCTTTCTGAAAACACGCATTCCTCTCTTTTCTTTCTTCTCCAAATAAAACTCACCCAGAAAGATCTGAGAAAGCCTTCGATATCAGGACATAAATGCCCAATATGGCTACCCTACCTCATCTCAGGGAGCATTTTTATTTTATTTGAATTTTTAAGAAACCTCTAACTTGTTTAGATCAAGGGGATCGAGCCTTGATTTTAGAATCTCACCGCGCTGAGCACAGGGAGGACTTTTCAGTGGGGAGGGCGGAGAGAGGTGGGTCTCACACCCCACTGCGGAGCCTCCTGCTCAGCTCCCTTTACGTTGGCGCTGAGATGAAGACACGTTCAGCCTCACACAGTCCCCCACTGTCCCCTGCCAGACCACAGCTGATCTCCTCTCTGCCAAAGCCCAGCGAGCGCCCGGGGAGACCGCAGGGCACCTCCACGCCTCAGAACAGCTGTCTTTGTAAGGAGGGCCAAGCAAACATTTGCCTCCGGCTGGCAGCGGTTCCCAGACCTGACTGCACATGTATTCATATCCTGCTGGACTTTGGGGGCCGCTGAACAAGCAAGCGTCCCCCCACATCTTAGCAGACGGGTGTCCCCAGGCATCCTTGTGAGCTTTCACAGACAGGCCGTGTGCTAGTGAGACTCCGATCGGAGATGTCTTCCATACTCAGCCCACAGGCGAGAAGTTATGCCCAATCCTAACTCGCTCCTTTGAACGAGGGGCATTGCCAGCGCGGGTACAGGATGACAGCCCCAAGGAGGATTTAACCAGGAGCCATGGTTAAAATGCAGGCAATGGGGAGGCGCTGAGGGGATGGAAAGGGTCTGTGTTGGGAGGCTGGGGGTCTTGCCTGGGGCCATGCTACAAGCCATTCCTGAACTTGAACAACTGGCTAAATCTTCTCGGACTGCTGTCTCCTCAGCTGGAGTTTTTCAGGCTTCCCTACATGCTCTGTATGGTTTGCTGGGGCCACCCTCCCAGCGGCACAAATCAGGTGGCTTAACTATAGGAATGTATTGTCTCATAGCTCTGGAGGCTGGACGTCTTAGGTCTGGGTGTCCGCAGAGCCGGCTCCTTCTGAAGACTGTGGAGGGGGGAAAGGGGAAAAGATGAGGAGGGGGGGGGGGCTGTACCATGCCTGCTCCTGGCTTCTGGTGGTTTGCCGGCAGCCTTTGGCAATCCTTGACTGGTGCATGTATCACCTCACCTCAATCTCTGCCTTCATCTTCACATGGCGTTCTCCCCATGTGCGTGCATGTCTGTCTCTGTGTCCAAATGTTTCCTCTTTGTAACAACACAGTTGTATCTGGTTAGGACTCATCCTAATGACCTCATCTTAACATGCTCATCTGCAAGGACTTTATTTCCAAACAAAGTCATCCTCATGGGGGCTGGGGGTTAGGCCTTCAACATCTCTTTGGGGAGATACATTTCAACTCGTAACTCTCTGACCTCAGATTCCTGTGGGCAGGACCCGTGAGCCACGAGCTGGCCTCCTGTCTGCGGGCAGCCTGCCGTGGGTCTCCCCCTGCTGCTCTGGAGGGAGGCAGGGGAGCAGATGGAGGCAAATCCGGATGACCCCTTCCAGCTGTGTGACGCCAGGCAAGCCACGTTCCCTCTCTGAGCCTCTGTCTCCGCATCCGGGGATGAGAGGGTTACTGAGAACAATAATGAGCTGAATGAAGCAAAGGAGGACTGGGCTGGCACATGGTAAGTGCAGAAAAAATTATGGCTGTTCTGTATTCTCCTGGAGTCAAGGAGAGGGCGGGCCAGTGACTTCTAACCCTGGCTGCACATTCACGTCTTCTTGGTGAGCTTTGTAAACGCTGCTGGTGCCCAGGCCCCACGAGATTTTCTGACTCAATTGGTCTGGGACGGGGCCCAGGCATGGATATATTTAGAAGTTCCCTGGTTGATTTTACTATGCGGCCAAGATTGAGAACCACTAGAATAGATGGAAGGATTGAAAACTCCCATGGAAAGTCTCAATGCAGTTGAAAGTCAGAAGAGGTTGACTTGTAGCCACTTGGCCAGAGGGTCCAGGCCGGGGAGCTGCCAGGGAGCACTTAGAAAACCGGCGAGTGGGTGACCTGGATTCAGAGCCATTCCTCGCCTCGTGGTCTCCCTGGTGAGGAGCGTCCCGCTGGGACATGCTCAGGACCTTTCCTCCCACCGCTACCTTCCACCACCCGTCTGTCCGCAGGGCCCGGGACTACCCTTCCTGCCTCAGCTCCAGGTCTGTCAAACAATCCCCGTTAGAGTTAGTGTCAGATAATGGCTTGATGTGCTGTCCTCCCAGGGGCATTTGCCTGGCGCTCAGCACAGAAGCAGAGATCTTCCAGGGAGGAGATTGTGGACAACATGGGGTAGACTTGTAGAATGGGGCTGGCTGAGCACCTCACACCCACCACATGGGAACTGCCTGCTTTGGATAAGCATGGCTCCCAAGCCCTGCAGTTGTCAACTGGAGAGCTTCTATGTTACAGCATAACTCTCACTCCTCCCATCCCCAGCACCAGGTCCTTCCCATGCCTGGACGTGGGCGTGGAGGCAGCTGTCTGGCAGGTGCAGGGGGATAAAGCCCTCTGCTGAGTGAGGAGGCAGCTGGGAGAGGAGGACTCCCCCACACCCCCACTCTCTCCAGCTGCTCCGTCACATCAGCTTTATCGTCAGGCCCGGCCTCGCTAAGCTGTGGCCTTCTAACGGGGCCCCTTGTCCGCTTGGCATCAGACACTTGCACTCATCTACCTCCTGCAGGTCCCGGGGTCTCTCACTCCTGCTGGACTCCAGTCCTCCAGTGACTTCTTACTATGCGAGCGAATGAGGAACAGTAAGTGACGTATGTAAATAGAAGCCATCTTAAATGCAAAATCTATATAACTTAATTTATTATTGCGAAGAGGTGGGGCATGTCCATTGGCTCTTCAGCAGAATTAGTCAAAGCGTAGCGAGCAGAACAAAGGACACGAGGACCCCCTCCATCCTGATCTGCTCCGAGTCCTGCATCCTGTTTGGCTCCGCGCCGTCCACGTGCTCAATTTCAACCAACAACAGGTCAGAAGGAAGGGTAGCCAGAGACGCTATTCTCTTAGTGCAAAGGAGGATGTTCTGGTTCCATCCGACCATAGCAACTTGGTGACCTTGGACTTCACTTTGGCTCTTGGAAACGGGGAAATGTGTTTGCTGGATGCTTGTAATTCAGGGAAAGTACCCTGCAACAGCATCACCGCTTATGGAATGTCTCTTTGCCAATCAGATTGTGAGTTTGGTGGAATGGTGACTTTTCCGAGCGAGGGCAGGAGTTTCTGGGTCGGCCTGGTGGGTTCCCACTGCCTCTCAGACAGACTGGGTGCCGTTAAGCCCGGATTTCCTGGCAGGCCCGCTGGAGGCTTTTCCAAAAGGCATCCCAGCCCGCGGGGCACAGCCTTTCCCTGTCTCATCTCGACAGGGAGCCCCCGGACACACGCCCCCTGTTTCCAGCTGGTCGCACAGGCTTTTTTTCACGCTGCAACCAGAAAGCCGAGCCAAGGTGTGACATTTAGGAACCCCAGCAACTGGGAGCTGTGCGGCACGCCGTGCTGCCTGTGATGTGGGGAGTGATGAATGGGCCGTTCTGCTTCCCCTCTGGCATGCCTGCAGCTACTTACCGCCCGGCCAAGTATAAAACCGCGGCCGGCTGCGCTCCGTCTCCAGCCCGGCGTCCCCCGAGGAGACCACGCGCGGGAGCCCGGCCGTCTGTCTTCCCCAGGAGGCTCCCGGCTCGCTGAGAACCATGGTCCGTGGGCACCTGCTGGCTCTGTTTGTCCTCCCTCTTTGCCTGTGTCAAGATGAATACATGGAGGTGAGCGGCAGAGCTAATAGCGTGGTGGCCAGAATAGTGCAGAGCCACCAGCAGACCGTCCGTGGTGGCTCCAGGAGGGAGACAGTGAGAGAGCGGAGCCACCCGAGAGCGGGCACTGTGGCTAATAACGCGTCTGCAGACCCAAAGCCCCCGAGGCCAGATGAGCTCCCGCACCCCGAGGTAGATGGCCTAGCCCCGATCACCCCGTTCTGGGGCCAGGTACTCAGCATTCTCTTTTAAGGCTTTCCCGGGAGGGGCTGTCCTGGCTGTGGCTTCAGCTGCGATTCTGAAGGGGGGTGCTTCTGAGACATCTGCTGAGCTGCTGGTGGGTGTCTTTCTGGGGTGCTCTGTGCTCGAGGGGGGTCGTGGGTCTCTTAGAAAGCCAGCAGGGGTCGGTGTGCTGGGACAGAAAGACTGCTTGGTGCCCCGCCAAATAGGACACTGGGGGCCGCCAGCTCCCTGCTCTGCTGTGACTTGGTGTCCCCCTGCCCTGGGTGTGGAAAGAGGAGGCTGACCATACGGTAGCCACATGGCTGTCCCTGCTCATTCGCCGATCATAAGGGAGTTGGGCTTTCTGAATCCGTGCCCAGCGGGGGAGAAGCTGCCCTGGAGGCTTTCGCTTTGCTTTGAGAGTTTACTGCAGCCTTTTATGCCAGGCGTGTGATCTGCTTGCTAGCTTTCTAGGTCGCTAAGTTTCTATGTTCAGTCTGTTTCAAAAAGGACCAAAGAGTTAAAATAAACCAAGAGTTAAATCAACAAAAAGGCTATATATTTAAAATGTAAACCTCATCGAATGAGTGAATGCCTGATAATCGCAGAGGAGGGGGTTAATTTCTCAGAGTAAGAGCTCGGCAATAAAGGAACGTCTTTAACTCTTTTTTTTAGTGAATCTTTATTGCTGAGTATTACAGGCCAACCCCTTTTCTCCCTCCAATGGCCCCCTCCACCGGGCTCTCGTCCCACCCCAGGCCTTCACCACCCTATTGTCTGCTCTGAGTCCAGCCTGGTGTTGGGGACCCGCGGCCTTCTGATCCTGGTGTCCGGGAGGGGAATGAGTTCCTCTAAGCCGACCACTGGGGTGCAGGGGGTGGCGGGGAGCGGGGAGGGGGGAGCGGGGAGGTGGAATGGTGACTTTTCCGAGCGAGGGCA